GGCGGGCCCGGCAGCTTGTCGGCTCCGGGGCTTCGGGCGCCTGAGCCCCATCGCGGCCGCGGAGCGCTGCGGGGCTCTGTCCGGCGCTCTGCCCGGCGCTGGGAACTCGCCTCGCCGCCGCTTCCCAGCTGCTTTTGTATTTCGCTGTGAGACCCTCCGGCGGGCGCGATTCACAGGCGCCGGGACCACGTGGGAGCGCGGGGCACCCCCCTCCCCCTCCTCCGCCGCCACCGCTCCCCGCCCCCCGCTCCCCCGCCCCTTCGCCTCCTCTTCCCCTTAAAGCGGCGATGGATCCTTCCCGGAGAGAGAGGCGGCCCCACATTCGGTTGGGCACTTAGGGGCCCGGAGGAAGCCCGGCTGGCGGCGCCCACGCAGGGGCTTCGGAGGGGACGGCCGGAGCCGGAGTCTGAGGCTGGGCGTGGGAGACGCGATCTCCGGCCTCGCTGGGGTGGGGCGGCAGCTGAGTCCCTAGGCTTGGGCAGTACCAGATCTGCAAACTTCACCCAGACCCCCACCCAGTCCTGTGCTCCGGCTCTGCGAGGGGGAGATCAGGGCGTGTCCCTTTGCTTTTCCCGGGTGGGATTCGCGCTGCTTTATGTAAATTCCCCGGAACCTATTCCAGCCCCAGAGGCTGTGACTCCAGCCGGTTGGGGAACCATCTGTAGCCAACAACTTTGAACCGACACCCCTTCTTTCCTGGCTCGTTCACGGGTCACTGCGGGCTTGTGCGCCCTGAGGTTGGCCGTCCCGCCTTCCCCAGCGACTCTGGGAGTGAAACCTCGCGGTGCAAACAGCTCATCACTCGTGGGTTCATTCAACAAAGAGACGAGCTCTGGCTCTAGTAGGGGGCGGTGAAGTCCACGGGTCTGGGTTCAGTTCTCACGGGGCTTACGCTCAAGTGACAGGTTTAGGTTGCGGAGAACACTGCAGCCTTTCATGTGCTGGGGAGAGGGACAACAGGGACAGCTTCTCTGAAAAAAACGGTGTTTTCCCCCACGAGGAAACTGAGGCACGGAAAAGGGGTGAGGCTTTCTCAGCGTCGTCCAGTTAGCAAGCGGAGAAGCTAAAAGGCAAACCCAGGTCTGCTGGTGGAATGCTGCTTGATTTTCTCTTCTTGAGCAAAGTTCTGGGTGTATAATCAGCATTCTCAAAATTTAAACTATCATAGAGTCATTTTATTTCCACAGTGCAATTTTCAATTAAACACAAACGAACAACAACCCTATGTTGCATTTGATCTACTGTTTTAATGATACAGGGTACAGTAATGGTGCGGAGGTGGTGGAAGAGCAATACTAAAGCCCCAATTTATCTTGTAGCCATCCTTAGGTTCAGTCCACCAGGGCGCCTGTAGGAAGGTAGCGGCCCTCTCCCTGGAGTGCTGTGCATCTAAACCTGGAATTCCCAAGTTAGACACCCGACTGGGGGTGGGATGAGGGCGGAGTCCACCTCCTGAGAGTCAAGAGCTCGAATTTGTTTCCTTACATGTATTTATCTCCCATCAGGTGTAGGTGAGTGTTATCGACTCTACTGTATCAGCTGGCGCTGTGTATTTTATTCTCCAAAGAATGAATGTTCTCGAGTTCTGGGGCAGACATGCTAATGTTTATTGCTGAGCACCGGCATCGGAAAAGAACCTGTTTGAGACCTTTCTGCTGTAGCCAGTATGTATATTTTCATGGGTTTCTCATGGTGTGGAAAGTACATACAAGCCGAGGTGTAGGGTCTTTGCTAAATCTGTTCTGAACCGCATGGTAGCTATAGCATGCCTTTTTATAGCTCTTATCTGATGAAAGGATTACAATGGCTCCCATATGGGTACATCAAAATATATTAATTCATTAAAAGGCATTATATTCTTGTCCTGGGCAAGCTCCCTCCCCCATCTTTCCCTAGAGGGCAGGAACTATGTCTTATCAAATTTATATTTACCTTACCACCTACCATTGTATATTACACTAAATAAGTGTTCAATAAATTGAATTTAAATTTTGTCTTTTGGTTTAACTTCTACTGGGAATTTTTTTTTTTTTTTAAATGTAGCCCTTTCATCCTGCGCAAACTATAAGCAAGATCTCCACCTTGTGGATACAAGTAGAATATCATCTAATTAGACAAAAGTGCACATTTTTACCTGGAAGATGAATGAAATTAAACGCTGAGAATGCTAAGTGACTACTGTGGCCCAGGCATGTCCTCCGAAGTGTGGGGGAATTTCGAGTAGTTGGTGGCCCTGGCTTTGTGACTGTTAACAAAAGCTATGGTTAAATAACTGCCAGGGATCCTTTTCTGTAAACTGCACGAGTCACTCTTGTCCGTTGTTTTGTGACCACTTGGGCACAATGCCTGGCACTCAGTGAGTGTTCAATAAAAATTTGATGAATAAATCCTTGGGAAGCTATGAAATGAAGCCATACAAGTAGTAAGTTTCAAAATTGTAAGGGATACCTTACTACTAAAGGACACAAAATAAGAACCTCCATTAATATTAAAAGGAAAAACACTGATGGGAGCTTTGCATAAAGCATGTAGGGAGAGCACATGGTTTGGAGTCTGGGAAGGATGGCTTCAATGCCAGACATCCCAAATCCAGTAACTCCCAATCGTATTCCTGGTAACTATGAGGAAACTGGTATTTAGAAGCTGATCACCATCTCCCACCTCAAAAAATTGGACTGGCTTTGTTTCATTGAACAGCCCTTTGTTTTAGCCCCAGGACTGGGTGCACCATGTACCAGAACGGGATCTCCTAATAGAAACTTTAACAAGTTCATTGAAATTCAGAGTTACAGAAGACCAAAGGCATAGCCTTGTGAAAATGCAATGCAGTTTTAAAAAGGTGTTTGATTATTTCAGGTAGTGCGTAAGGATGGCCCCCTTTTCCCCTGTTGGAGGAAAGCCCTCTGTGTCTCCTTTTTTCCAGACCTGAAGGGCCGCCTCTCCCACCCCAGGCCAAGCCAGTGTGGCTGCATGGGTAGGCAGAACATCACCCCGTGCACCTTCAGTCCTTCCTCCCGGCATTTGTTCAGGGCATGCGGGGAAACTGCTCACCAGTCCCTAAACAGGAAGCTGTTTGTGCCTTTACGCCTTTCTTAATCCTCTCCAGTTCCTCCCTGGGCCAGTCCCTCTCTGTCTTCAAAGGTACCTATGGATCAGTGCCTCCTGGTGAAAAGAAAGGAGGTGGGAGTGAGTGTTGGGACAGGGAAGCAGCCTGAAAAGTGGAAGGTTTTCCAAGCCTGGCATTTCCATTTTCTGGGTTGTTCCTTGGGCTGGTTTCTGCCTTCTGAGTTTCAATTTCTGAACCTGAGAAATGAGGGTAATAAATCCTACCTAACTCACGGGCTTGTTTGCAGCTCATGAAATATGAATAGTAACCATAACAACAGTGGCAGCGAACACTTACTGAATGCTCATTATGGGCTTAATATGGGGCTCAGCCCTGCATGTGCTTTATCCCAATTAACACCCTCAACAAGTATCATTATCGCCCCCACTTTACAGATGGGAAAACTGAAGTGCAGTCAGTAATTGCCTGAAGTCAAACAGCAGCTAAGTGACAAGGCTGAGGTTCAAGAACCCTTTGCAAATTGTAAACGGCTGGAGCAGTGTCAAGAATAAAAATCACTCCATTAAATCAAAGTATTCAACTCAGATTAAATTGTGCTTTGAAATGTTCTCTGGGGTTGCTACTAAGTAAAATGGTTAAGAGCATAAACGCTTAAGACAGATTATCTGGATTTAACACGTAGTCCTGCGACTTACCAGTAGTGTGAGTTACTTAACCATTCTGTGCCTCAGTGTACTCATCTGTAAAATGCAGCAATACTAGTATTCTTAATATTACCAAGAATATATATATATGATATCTAATGTTTAGTAATGGTAGTGACAAACTTTTTAAGATGATGGTTATTATCATCGTGGTGGTTAAATCAGTCATTTTCTTTTCTCCTCTCTTTCTCTTTATTTTGCAGTATTGAGGAATAAACCCAGGCCTTTGCACTGGACTATGTTCTGGCCCTTTTAAAAATTTTTGTTTTGAGACAGGCCCTTGCTACATCATTTTGTTGCCTGGGCTCAGCGAGAACTTGCAGTCTTCCTGTGTCAGCCTCCCAGAGTGCTGAAATTATAGGCTGTCTATCTAGAGGTCCCTGCACAGCCTCATGTACTCATAGGTGGGGCTTTGGGGAGGTGACTGGATCACGAGTGTGTGATACTCATCAGTAGATTAGTCCACGGAGGAGTTTATAGCTAAGTGTGATGTTGGAAGGTGAAGCCTGGTTGGAGGAGGTGGGTCACTGGGTGTGGCCTGGAGGAGTTCATCTCCCTCCTCCTCCCTGGATCTCTTTCTCTGCTTCCTGCTGCCATGCCATGAACTGTTTCTCCTCTACCATGCCCTTCTGTCATATACCGCCCTGCCTTGGAGCCAGCAGATTACACACCAAAACCTCCACAAACTGTGAGCCAAAATAAAGCTTTTGTCATTCCAGCTGTGGGTGTTGAGTATTGTGTCTCAGCATGGAGAAAGGGACTAAGACATAGGTTTACACACCGCTAAGCCCTTATGTTTAAAGTGCTTGAAAGATCCTGTCTGAGTGTTCATCGTTATAGTTTTCCCCTTCTGATTCCACTGTTTCCTTGCCCAGTGTCTTCTACCAAGTGTGTCACTTTGTCTTGAGCAGCCTAACATGGGTGGTGTTCCAGCCCCTTGCCCCTTCTTTATGTCCCTGCTGGCATCTTCCCTGACAACTTTGCTACTTCTCTATGGAGCCGAACCAACTGGCCTCCATGGTGCAACTCTTGTTGAAAGCCCAGAGCCTCCAGCCAGTCATAGGCAGGCTGCTTCTGACTTCCTTTCACTGTTCTACACCCTTCAGCCCTGACCCTTCTGTGTCACCTGAGTTGCAAGTTCCTTCCAAAGGTAAAGGCCCCCAAATACACCCTTCATGAAAAGGAAGAGAAGGAAAAGAGATGTCAGAGAAATATCCTATGATCCCTACAATGGCCATTATCCTTTGGTCTTGGGCAAATTTCTAACCATCTGGGCTAGTCTCCTTGTTTATGTTTGTCAGTAGTGGACTGAGTGCTTACATTCTCTCCAAGTTCATATGTTGAAATTCTGACCCTCAATGTAATGATGGTAGGAGGTGGGGCCCTTTGGGATGTGGTCAGGCCAGGAGAGTCAACCCCTAATGAATGGTAT